AACCATGGTTACTTCCCTAACTGGTTTAAATATGGCCAATGCCTCATTATTGGATGAAGGTACCGCTGCCGGTGAAGCCATGTCCTTATCATTCCACAGTTTGAAGGGCAAAAGAGGTAAATATGTGGTTGATACTAACCTCCACCCTCAAACTTTAGACGTTATCAAATCTAGAGCTGAAAATATCGGGGTAGAAATTGTCGAATTACCATTATCTACTCAAGAAGGTCTTGAGGAATTAGAAAAGATTGCTTCTGATTCGTGCGGTGCCTTAGTTCAATACCCAGGTACTGATGGTTCGCTTAACAACTACACTAAAGTTGGTGAGATTGTTCATGCTCACAAGGGACTTTTCGCCATGGCTACTGATTTATTGGCTTTGACTTTAATAAAGTCACCAGCAGAATTTAATGCCGACATTGCATTGGGTACTTCTCAAAGATTCGGTGTTCCATTCGGTTACGGTGGTCCACACGCTGCATTTTTCGCAACCAACATGAAATACTCCCGTAAAATTCCAGGCAGAATCGTTGGTTTATCAAAGGATAGATTAGGAAAACCAGCCTTGAGATTAGCGTTACAAACCAGAGAACAACATATTAAGCGTGAAAAGGCTACCTCTAATATTTGTACTGCTCAAGCTTTATTAGCTAACATGGCTGCCATGTATGCCGTTTACCATGGTCCAAAGGGGTTGAAAGACATTGCTTCTAGAGTCTACGGTTACACTACTGTTTTAGCTAACGAAATCTCTAACAATTCTCAACACGAAATTGTCAATGATAAATGGTTTGATACGTTAACCATTAAGTTGGGTGGTGGTGTTAAGTCTGACGAAATTTTAAACAAGGCTCTTAACGAGTACAACATTAATTTATTCAAGGCAGGTGAAGATAAGGTTTCCTTGTCTTTGGATGAAACTGTGGAAGAAAAAGACTTGATTGCATTGGTTGATGTTTTCACAGGCAACAATCTGTTCAGCACTTCTTCAATTTCAGAATTACCAAAATTACCTACCGAATTATTGAGAACCGACGAAATCTTAGCTCATCCAGTTTTCAACACCCATCGTTCTGAAACTTCCATGTTACGTTACTTACATTTATTGCAAAGTAGAGATTTGTCTTTGGCTAACTCCATGATCCCATTAGGTTCATGTACTATGAAATTGAATGCCACCGTTGAAATGCAAACTTTATCTATACCAGGTTTCAATCAAATTCATCCATTTGCTCCATTAAACCAGGCTCAAGGTTATAAGGAATTAGTCGACGAATTTGAAAAGGATTTAAATGACATCACTGGTTTTGATGCTACAACTAATATGCCAAATTCTGGTGCTCAAGGTGAATACACTGGTTTATCATTAATCAGACAATATCATAAATCCAAGGGTGAATACGAACAAAGAAATATTTGTCTTATTCCAGTTAGTGCTCACGGTACTAACCCAGCCTCAGCTGCTATGTGTGGATTAAAGGTTGTTCCTGTCAAGTGTTTGAATAACGGTTCTATTGATGTAGATGACTTGAAAGTGAAGGCCGAAAAGCACGCTGAAAACCTTTGTTCTATCATGATCACATACCCATCTACTTACGGTTTATTCGAGCCAGGTATCAAGACTGCAATTGACCTTGTACACAATAACGGTGGTTTAGTTTACTTAGATGGTGCTAACATGAACGCCCAAGTTGGTTTGACTTCGCCAGGTGACTTAGGTGCAGATGTCTGTCACTTGAACATTCACAAGACCTTTGCATTATCCCACGGTGGTGGTGGTCCAGGTCAAGCCCCAGTGTGTGTAAAGGAACACTTGAAACCATTCTTACCAAAGCATCACTTCTTAGACACTCCTCATTCTACCAACGAATCCATCCAAGCCGTTAACTCTGCTCCATACGGTTCTGCCTCTGTTATCCCAGTTTCATACTCATACATCAAGATGTTGGGTGCCAAGGCCTTACCTCACGTTTCCTCTATTGCCATGTTGAACGCTAACTATATGTTAGAAATGTTGAAGGATCAGTACCAAATTATGTTCGTCGATCACAGCGCCTCCACCAATGAAGGATTGAAGCACTGTGCTCACGAATTTATCTTGGACTTGAGAGAATTCAAGGCTGTTGGTGTTGAAGCCATCGATGTCGCCAAGAGATTACAAGATTATGGTTTCCATGCACCAACCATGTCTTTCCCAGTGGCCGGTACATTGATGATCGAACCAACCGAATCTGAAAACTTGGAAGAATTGGACAGATTCATCAACTCCTTATTGTCCATCAGAAAGGAAATCGATGCCTTTGCCAATAAAGAACCATTGGGCCAAGTGTTGAAGAATGCTCCTCACTCGTTGAATGACATCATCTCCACTTCCCAAGCCGACTGGGAAACCAGAGGCTACACCAGAGAACAGGCTGCATACCCATTGCCCTTTTTGAAGGAATCTAAGTGCTGGCCTGCCGTTTCCAGAGTTGACGATACTTACGGTGACATGAACTTGATGTGCACTTGTCCATCAGTTGAAGAGGTTGCCGCAGATCAATAAGCGTGGTTTTGGGTTATGTATTTTTATTAGTCGTTTACAGTCTTACACACATATTTATAGGTTATACATATACACTATACAGTTAATATCAAGTTATTCTAATGAATACGAGTCAATGATAGTAATAATAATTATTGATCACATGACCCCGCTTTTTTCACATTTCAGACTTAGAGGGTCTCGGTGATATTGGAAGCAAGTTTCGATTATATTTGATAACAGGTAACCACAGAAGTATAATAGAGAAAAGCCATAGGTGGATATGGAGTGGCAGAATCCAATTAAATACAAGAGAAGTTCTGTTTCTATGGGTATGCCGTATTCGCAAGGAAGTTACGGGCTTTCTTATACCAGTCCACAACAACAAAGGACGCAATTCTACGGCGGTCGACATGCTTTGCTTCCACCCAGCTCGAATGGGAATAATAGGGGACTAGGTAGCGAAGGAGGTTCGGGTGTTATTGACCGCCATAGCTACTATTTTTCTCCCGATCCATTATATTGCTCAGACTGGACATATTTAAATGGCGGAGAGATGGATTGCATTGCATTGAGCTCGTATAAGGAAGGGTTCTCCAACAAGATACTGGTTGTTCATGGAGTAGGCTACGGACGAGAAGCTACGGGTGTGGGCAACGGAGATATGGGTGATGATGGTGATGTGACGATGGGGTCGCCCACGTCAAACGCATACCAAGACGATGCGATCGAGGGGTTTGATTTCCACAAGGTGGCAGAGGTATCGGTAGATTATCCCGTCACGAACTTGCAATGGGATCCTTCGATGCTCAAGATGGGAAACGGTTTGTCTGAGCGGTTGGGGGCGTCGCTGGAAGTGTTGAGACTCTACAAGGTGGATCACGAAGCTCTCGATAAGAATAGCGACTACAAGTTGACCCAGACGCATATTCTCGCTAACAACACGGCGACAGCGTCATCGTCGACTTCGTCGTCTGCTCAGTCGAATACCGGCGCATCGGGAAGCGCTAGTGACGACATGAACACTTTCCCACCCGTCACATCATTTGACTGGAACAAAGTCGACCCCAACCTCATCATAACATCTTCTGTCGATACAACATGCACGGTATGGGACTTGAATCGATCGAGCCTTACCGCAGACCCCAGTTCAGACCTGAACGCTGTCACCGACACCGCCACCGTCAAGACCCAGCTCATCGCCCACGATTCGGAGGTGTTCGACGTCAAGTTCATCCACAACTCGACCAATGTGTTTGCGTCGGTAGGAAATGACGGGTCAATGCGTGTGTTTGATTTGCGGTCGTTGGAGCATTCGACCATCATCTATGAGCCGTCGCACCCGTCGACATCTGCTCTGACCCCAACGACACCTCATCACAACACGCGGGCGCTTCTCAAGCTCTCGGCATCCAATATCGACCAGAATTACTTGGCTACCATCGGCGTCAACTCAAACCAGGTCATAATCATCGACATGCGCATGCCCGGACTTCCAGTGGCGGCGCTCGATGGATCGTTGGGCGGAGCCAACACCGCAGCCATCAACTCGATCCAATGGCACCCGTCGTCCAACTATCTTCTCACCGGCGGCGACGACTGCCAGGCCCTCGTGTGGGACTGCAACAACGTCCGCCATCCAGGTGTCCCAAAAACCCCGTCGTCGGCCTCGTCACATACCCCCGACTTCACCTCGCTCGTCGAGTCGCCCGTGCTAGCCTACAACGACAACCTCGAGGTCAACAACGTATGTTGGCGCCGTGACCAAGGCGACTGGATGGGTGTCGTCAGCGGCAAGGGTTTCCAGGCCGTTCTGATATAAATACACTCAATTCTAGCCACCTTGGTGTGCTTTTTTACACCAATTGCACCACTTGCACCCAATCCACCCGCCTGCACAATTGCACCACCCCTTGCGCGAATCCCGCCTGCAAAATCCACTCGCACACTGGACAACCAGTTTTCCTTTCACCACCCACCCCTCTGACCCTACTAATGCCTACCTATCACTCCCATTGGGCCCCAAATCTCCATTTGTTCCAAAAATATCTTCGTTTTTCAATTAAACTACCGTATATAGAGCCTCATGACGCACAGAACAATCGTCCTAAAATTGGGTAAACGCACGCATTCCCATCTGTTGATGAAAAATAGTTTTGTGCAGGAGGCCAAATCATTAATTTACTACCCTTAATAAGTTATAAATAAATTAATATAAAATGGAAAATAATTATATATTCTACAATAGATCGTGATCGTTTGAACAATATTGGTAAATATTGAATAGTTTCTAGTGAAATAATAGGTATCACAGGATCCAGGGAAACTATTAGGATTGATTTTGGTTGAGATTTGGGATTACAAGAACCAAATTAGGCAAGACGGTAGATCCAGGTTGAAAAACGGGCCTTTTTAGCTAGCGGCGGTATATTGGCAGATTTAGGCCACGAAAGAGCATATTGGGCTATTAGACGGTATGACATACGTTGACAGCATGATGGGTAATGTGCGGGGGATGTTTCGAAGGGCGGACGAGGATACGGAGGACGAAGGGGGATTGCAAGATGATGGGGGGTTTAATGGGACGTCGAGCCTGAGTTCGAGCATTGGGCCGTCGTCGAGTTCGGGAGACGATGGGCCCACTGGCGGGTCGAGTTTGACGAGCGACAATTCGGAGACGATGGGGCCTACGAGTGATGGGAGTGATAGCATGAGTGGGACAGTAAGTGAGACGAGCGGTCCAACTAGTGGCCCAACAAGTGCCACTAGTTCGGATATTACGAGTGAAAGTTCTAGTGCGAGTTCTAGTGAGAGCCCGAGTAGTTCGTCGAGTTCTGACACTTCGAGTTCTGAAACTTTTAGTTCTAGTTCTAGTTCTAGCTCTGGTTCTAGTTCTTCTAGTTCTTCGAGTTTTAGCTCGCTGAATTCCAGTTCTGTTAGATCCAGCTCGTCGGGCTCCAGTACTAGATCTTTTAGCTCGTCGAGTGATCCCAGTTCGTCGAGTGATCCTAGTTCGTCGAGTGATCCTAGTTCGTCGAGTTTTAGCTCATGGAGCTCCAGTTCCTCAGCCTCGCCGAGCTCGAGTTTTTTGACATCGAGTTCGATCCCCGTCTCGTCGAGTGAATCCAGCTCGTCGCTGTCTTCATCGCAGTCATCATCACAAGAACCTTCCAGCCTGTCTGAGATTTCGTCTACGTCGTCGTCTTCTTCGCCTTCAAGCACTCCAAGCCAGGCGTCGCGGACATCGCATTCGGAATCATCCACTCGGGCCAGTTCTTCAAGGAGCTCCTCCTCCCACACACAATCATCATCTTCCCCTTCATCATCATCTGACAGAACATCATCTCATGTAGCACCTACGTCATCACTGTCGTTCTCCTCATACTACACAACTATCGAAGATTCCGACACCACAGTCACTTCATTGGTCACAGTGCCCACGTCGGCGGCAAACGATCTGACTAACGCCTCCGGCTCCACGTCGGAAAAGAACGCTAAATTGATTGGTGGTTTGGTCGGCTCCATTGGGGGCACTATTGTCATTGGACTCCTTGTTGCATTATTCTTATTTTTGAAGAAAAGAAAGAAGGTCACAAATCAATCACCAGACTTCAACGATAATACTTCTGGTGATTCGGATTCTTATAAAGACAAGTCGGGGTTCAAAAAATTATTCTCATCTAAGCATACTAATACCTACGGTGGTGTTGCTGGCGTGACGGATATCGAAAGACAGAACGACACTCCTGCAATCCAGGCTGACGATGAGAGTAATGAAGAAAGCGATGACTTCGTATATCGTGGTGTCACGAACAACAATAACCTCGACAGTGTCTTCAGGTCAACCGCATCCAACTCATCGGGCCAGAATACGGCCATGGGCGGCAGTGCAAATCAGAGTGCAAACCAGAGTGCCAACCACACTCGTATGAATTCAATCGGCCACGCATTGGACATACCTTATGAGACTCGAGAGTCTGAAGAGCATGATCCTTTTGCGAGCCATAATCGAATAAACTCAGACGAGACGGACAATTTCAGTCCGTCTGACTATGACATTGATCAGAATGACTTGGTTCCTGCTGATCGGAGAAATATCTTTGGCGAGGAAAGTCATAGTAATAATTCTCGGTCCAGATTCCATGAGGAAATTATTTGATCTTTTTATTTATCCATAGAAGGCTTGCTATTTTTTTGAGCTTATTATTTACTGGGCCTACTATTTTTTCTGGTCATTTTGGGGCATATTATATGGTATTCAGTTCTATATTATTAATACTATTCAATTATTATAAGCTATATTTGTAGTATAAATTAGTATCCTGCACAGTATCAAGGATTTTTTCACTAACAAAATTTGTCAATTTTTCAATAAAAATTGATCGAGGTAGTATATTGCATTTTATTAGATAAACGACATGTCAGCTAAGAATGTTATGGTTAAATTGATCGTGGGCGCTGGTCAGGCGGCGCCTGCTCCTCCGGTTGGTCCAGCATTAGGCTCGAAGGGTGTTAAGGCCATAGATTTTTGTAAAGAATTCAATGCAAGAACTGGTAATTACCAACCAGGTATTCCAATTCCATGCTTGTTAACCATTAAGCCAGATAGATCATTTACTTTTGAGATGAAGTCACCACCTACCTCATGGTTGTTATTAAAAGCAGCACAAGCTAAAAAGGGGTCAGACAAGCCAACGCATAATATAGTGGGTGAAATCTCGTTGAAACATGTGTACGAAATAGCTAAGATTAAGAAAACGGACGACAGACATAAGGAAGTAGACTTACAAGCGATCTGTGGTGCGGTGATTCTGACTGCTGAAGCAGTTGGTGTTAAGATTGTTCCTTAGACATATTTAAAGGCTACTTGTAAATTAGATAATATTTTTCATGTATATATTAATAAGAGTTATTTCACAGTTCTAAGACAATGTTCTTGTTTCTTGGGTTGATATCTATCAAGTGTAGTATAGTAAACACAACCATTTAACCGATACATACTATATTAAAGATGCTAGAAGAAAATTAAAACATATTCTGTATTTAGTGCTTTTTCTTGGTCTTATCGAATGCAGCTATATGAGCTTTTGCTTGATCCACTTGGGTGTGGTCATGATTGTCACAAGGCACAACTTCAAAATTTGTAGATTCATCCAGGGTTAATTTCTGTTCCACATAACACATATCAATAGAAGTTAACCAATCGTCATTGAAACATTCCTCAATTGAGATACGACATGCTGGAGGTAATTCTACCATCTTGCCAATCAATGGACGACAGTCCTCTGGTAAGGCAAGTAGTAATCTTCCCGCACCCGATTCGCTTGAAGTATGAGGCTTACCTTGGGAGTTGAGTGATTGGGGATTACTTGTTTCAGATTTAGAAATTGAAATTGGGTTCATTTCACTGATGTCTAATTCGTCATCCCTTTCGTTCAAATCACTATTAATTTGTTCTGGAGTCCTTTTAAGCATTTCAGATAATGGAATCATTTCACCTCTACTAGCAAACAACTTAAAGCTATTATCTGATAACTTTGGAACTTTCCATGGGAATTTTTTCAATATCATACAGCAATATATTATAGCCGCGGACCAAACATCCACTGGTCGAGGATCGTACTTATTGAAAACACACACTTCGGGTGCCAAATATGGATCTGAACCTACAATGCCTTGTGCTTCAATCAAGGTTTTCGTAAATGGATAAGAAAAGACAACTGCAGAACCAAAATCAATAATCTTCACAATACCTCTATTATCAATAACACAGTTATCAAGTTTTAAATCTCTATGAGCCAAACCCATTGAATGTAAGTAGTTTATTGCCGATAGAATTTGTTTAAAACAACAGTTGATTTCTTCTCGTGACATCTTGTTCGACATTACAATTGCAAATAAATCAAAATCACAGTATTCCATAACTTGTAGGATACGTTCATTTTCGTAACAGATTTCAATGGTTTCAATAATGTTCGGGTGCTTTAAAGTAGAGCCAATACAATATTCTCCAGTAATTTTCTTAGCGTAATCCCTCTTAGTTTCATTTTGGTATTTGGCTCTAAATTCTTTCACCGCAAATACTTGTTTGTCCGATAATCTGTTCACTAATTTCACAGCACCACCAGCACCGGCACCTAAATTATCACCGAGCTTTCCGTATCTCTTTGAGAATGGTAACTGCTGCTGAGGATTAATTAAGACCAGTACAGAACCTCTTCTTTCGCGCTGATAATTCATTTTATTCTGCAAGACTGACGAGGAACGACTGACCGAAGATGAGCCAATAGTGAGCCCAGCATTAGGAGACTGGGAATACGAGGCATTGGATGACGATTCAGTCAATGATTGTCCGTATGACCCAGGTTGGAACGAACCGCTCATTGGTGTATTAGAATCGGTACTAACAGGAATGCTATTTCGGTCACTTCCATTTGATCTCAACGATGAGGATAAACTTGAAGCTGGAGCTGGGTTGGCTGGAGTCGACTTCTTAAAGAATCTCTTCAAGTTAGCCATCGAGTTATGTCTTGAAGGAGCTGGAAATGCATTTGAACTGATTGATTCATTTGATGAAATAGATGATGGAGAGCTCAACGGAACATAATTGTTATAGTCTTGATAGGCATTATTATAGAATGAACCTAAATCTGTTGATGACGATGGTTTTTTATTTGGACCTTTATTCTTAGAAGAGAAAAAATATGATAATCCCGATTGAGAGCCCGATCTATTCGAAGTACTCAATGACGCCTGAGCTTGAGCCTGAGCTACTCTTTGCTTTGAAATAACAAAACGTGGTTCAATCGACGAAGAATTAACCTGAGGGGATTGAATATGAATTGATGAAATCGGCTGTCCATTAGGCAAATTAGGGATATGTGAATTATCATGAGTAATGGGGGCTTCACTGGAGAAGCTTGATGGTTGATTTGCCATTCCATTTAAATTCGTAAACGAACTCGATAATTGACTTCTGCCTCCGGGTGCACTGTATGGGATCGAGGATGACATGCTTTCACCCCCATATCCTCCAGAATTCAAGAACGAAGAATGCGATACAGAGCCTGTTCTCTTTGTCCTAGGGCTGGCAACAGTGGGTGGCTTGATTGGAACGTCTCTGTACTGAAAAGCGGTATTGCCACTGTTTCTGCCCCCTTGAGTCCTTGGAGACTCAGGAACCAAGAACGAATCTTCCGGAACAATATCTATCGATGGATCAAACCCGTTGATGACCTGCGGTTGTGCGATATCCAATGAGCCGTTGTCATAGGTCTCATCCATCGAAAATCCACCTACCCCCCCGGTAATAGCATCTACATCGTCAGACCCCAAATCGGGCCCATGCCCATTTCCCTCCAATATATCGTGGTTCTGATGCGATGGTGTGATTGTTTCACTCGTAGAATCCAATGATGTCTGCGAGTGATTCTTGGAAAGTATCGGCGTAGCATTATTCGAGTTTGACTCATTTAACAACCTCGTTAGCGAACTAATCGGCATCTTCCCACTGTTAGAAGCCTTTCGGTTAGGCGTTTCTAAATTCATTTCCCGTATATATTCTCCTGCGATGCTTCTTTGGTGTTTTTAATTAATCTACTTTAAAGTTCAATAATAGCCTCTAATGGAACGCAGTTGCCTATTTCTGAAATTTTTTTTTTCAATTAATACTGAAAACCGTCTTCAAACTTTAGTCCTTCGATATAACTATTTCACGAGACCAGCTGATGTTATAAATGATGTGCTTAAACACTTAGTTCTTCCAAATTCCTCAAATTTCTTTTGACGCTTTCAATGGTCGTTGTTTTGTTGATAAGCGCGTGATCTTAGATACTGATAATGAACAATCTAATTTTATTTGTCAATCAATTATACATTTTTTATTTGACGTTATTCTTCAAGAAATATATAGAGTATGTAGGAATAGGTGTATAATTATTTATATAATCAATTGGTGTGAACATATGGTTTACATCAATGCTAATCTTTCTTTTTAGACTTGGATTTTTTAGCCTTGGATTTTGATTTAGGGGTAGATTTCGTAGTAGATAAATTTTCGGCCCGAGATTCAGATTGCGATGAATCGGGTTGAGATGGGAATAATGGTAATTCATCGTTAGCTTCTGATGGAATTCCAATCAGCCTTTTGAGGGATGCGAGCTTTGCTTGTAACTCTTCTGGACTTTCGGGCTTGGTGTCTACATCAGCTTTTCTCCTAGCTTCTTCGTTTTGGGCTCTCAATTTATCAGCTAAGGGCATTTTGGACTCCTGGATCTTTTCCTGCTTTTTTCTCTCGATAGCTGAGCTCTTTTCCAATGCTTCAAGGAGCTTTTCTGTCTCGTCGTACAAGGCCTTCTGGAGGTTGTCGTCACTAAGCTCTTTACGGGCTGGTTTTAATATTTTGCATTCTTGGATAACGTTTCCACCGTCGAGATTTTTAAACACGGGAGCAGCCAATGCATACAAGAACGACTGGGCTCCTTGAGAGGTGCTTTTGAAAAAGATCCAGAATATTGGGAACAAAATGAAATAGACCAAAAGCCCCCAAATCGCTCCCATCGATAAAAATCTTCTTGTAGATGGAGTTCTCATGATTCCGGGGTTGACCATGTTGACTCTGACGTTACATGGAGCCTTGTCCTTTCTCTCGAAGCTATTCAACCTTCTTTGGAATTCTTTGGCAAACATCGTCAACATTAATTTGGATGTACCATATAACTTCCAGGGTTCTCTAGTAGGATACCGCCTATTTAACCACAACGCATCCTTCATATCGAGGTCCCCTAAGGCTTGAGATACACAGGTGGCCATAACAATCCTAACGTCTCTGTCCGGAAGCTGTATTTTCAATGCAGGAGAAAGTAACGTCAACAAGTGAAAATGTGCTAAGTAATTGATTCCCATCTGCTTCTCAACACCGTCCATCGTAACTTGTCTTGCCTTTCCAATAGGAATCGATTCGGCGGCGCAGCATATCACACCGTCCAATCTTCTTGGAGGTTGATTGTCTAACCATTTCGTGGCAAATTTTCTTATAGAATATAACGAATTCAAATCACATTCTTCAGCATAAATCATAAAGTTATCAGTTCTCTCTCTCAAGTCTTCAATATAGTCTACGAGCCAACTGTCTTCAGTGGATCTCACCAAGAGAATAAGTTGAGCTCCCTTACTTGCAAGTTCATACGCAAGATTTGCACCCAATCCAGAAGTACCTCCTGTCATGATATATACCTTCCCATGATAATCTCTTTCCCAAGTATTTGAAGTTCCACCAAAGTAGTACTTAATACCTGCAAGGGCCATAATTGCTGGAGTATAAGTCTTGATATACTCCCATCCTGGAATTGCTTCCGGTCCCTCATATATGGCTGTACCTAGTATGTCTATTGGCATTATGTCTATTAGACTAGTTAGTGTGAAAGTAACTATTATATGCTGTTCTGTTCTCTATCGCCGTCCTATCGAAGTTCGAAGTATTACGCGTGTGCACATAATTTTCTACTGCTCATCGGGACATATATATTTTTTTTTCAGATTTGGTTTATTGAAGTGTATATTACTAACATCATACAAGTAAGAAACAATGGACGAGTCTGTATTCTATATATCGGAGGGAGATCCAGCTGACAAGCATTCACAAGAGTCGTTTGGGCATTCTAGTTCGGTGCATTCGTCTCAGCAACATGCTGGGTTTAGACAGGCCGACTGTCCTCAAAATGGGGCCTGTTTAAGCGGTGTAGGAGCAGGAGAAAGACTATTCGTTGCAAGCCCTAATAAAGCTTTGATTAATGTTTACTCGTGGGGCAAAGAAAGTCCCGACCAAAGAATTCCAATTCCAGAACAATTGAGTTGTTTGACTTTATGCAAGCATCCTCGTATCGAGGTGCTGGAGGGAAACCAATCAGATGAACGTAACTTACCAAGTTTCCGGACTCCGTGGTTATTAGCAGGTGGTTCCAAGACAGGGAAGATTTATGTGTGGGAGTTGGCATCGGGAAATTTATTGTGTGTCAAAGAAGCTCATTACCAAGCGATCACAGCTATTAAATTCTCTCAATGTGGCACATTTTTGGTATCCGGAAGTTCGGATGCCAGATGTATGATTTGGAGAACAAGTGATTTAATATCGGTATATAACAAGGATGAAGAGTCGAGTATAAATATCAAGCCATTTGCATCGTTCACAGACCACACATTACCAATCACAGATTTGACAATATCTGAAGCAGGAATTATCAGTGATTTAAGATTATACACCGTCTCTCGTGATAGTACTTTACGAATTTATGATATTATGACAAAGTCCCTTTTAACTACATTTGTGTTGCCCTCTGGTATTGAATGTGTTACTAAAGATCCCGCTAACAGAGCCTGTTATGTTGGATTATCGAACGGCTTGATCAGGACGGTTCCTTTATACCAAATTAACCCAAACACGTCTGTATTAGAGAGTATAGGAGGTAGGGGTAAGATAGTTACTTTGGATACTGATCCTAATTTATTGAGTACTTTTGTCCACCATCAACAACGTTTAAGCACCGAACCATTGCATAAAACATTAAATAAAAAGACGCCCACAGAAGAAAAACCAATCCTAGTAACGAGGTTATCCATCACAATGGATGGTTCTAATTTGATATCTGGCGATTCAGCAGGTAGGGTGTACGTTTCGGATATTGTTTCTAGACAAGTCGTTAAGACTTTTGCACCTTGTAAATCTTCTATCTCATATATCCAGGTCAATACTTGTGCAGTCGAAAAGGTATCCGTTTCAAATACCTCATCGAACAACAATGACAAAAGACACAGATTAATTCCGCAATTCAAAAGAGTTCTTGCCAATCCTGATCCGTTAGAGCATCAACTCTATATGGAAATTCCTAAACAACTGGAAGTAGAAGAGGATTTTGAAGGCTGGTTAGCACGTAAATCACAGGAAGAATTGGAATTCAAGAACTTGACACACATAAGTTCCTCAGTTACTGTAACAGGTACCGCTCCAACTACAAGTGATTCGACAGTTAAGGAATTAGAAGAAAAACTCGCAAAAGTATCAAAGGCTTACACCGATTTGAGAGCAAAACACGAAGAGTTGTATGAAGAGCATAATAAATTACTCAGTGATTCATAATCATTAACAATGCAATAAATATATATAATTAATAATTTTGCCCATCACCTCGTAGGTGACAATGGCCTATTAAATCCCTTACTTCTATTCATGTATGTTCTATATTCCGATTTGGTCTCCTTTTTGGTATTTCCTCCTTTCGTACCTTTAACATGTTTACCTTTTGTAGTTCCAAATCCCCCGAATCCCATCAAACTTATCATATCATCATCTTGAGCCTCTGCTGGGATTTCCATATTTATATCGTCTTCATCGTTTCTTTCTCTTTGACGTCCTCGGTTATCTTGCTCTTGCCTATGTTCTGGAAGTTTAATTTTATTATTGAATGAGGAATTCAGCAACGGTAAATCTTGTAATGATGTGTTATCCTTTTTATACAAATCCGACTTTTGCATTTTGTCAATCGATCTTTCTTGTGATCTATCTCTATAATGCTGGTCCTTATGATCACTCCCTTGAGAGTTCATTGTAAGCGATTCACTGGATTTATGGGGCAGTCTTGACCTAGATCTAGAAGCATCGAATTTTGGGTTTTGCTTTAAATTTATTTTAATCTTGTTATTATTACTTAAAACCATCTTTGAAACAATAACTAGTAGAATTAATTAGTAGGATCATCCATAACACAGGTTTCGATAACACCTGGTTAATACGAATGGAGATGAGATGATATTGCACGTGCACGGAATTTTTCATTTTAAAATATATTCTTTTGTAGTTGACATATGAATATCTAATCACAAACTTTTTATCAAGTCAGAATGTCAGATACAACCAAATTAACTAAGAAGCAGAAGAAGGCTTTGGATTTCCGTCAAAAGAAGTCCAAAGATTCAACTGAGGAAGATACTTCGGCTACCACAGAGAAAGAGAATAAGAAAAGAGCAGCAGACACCGAAGAAACATCAGAAACTGGTGAAGAGCCTAAAAAGAAGAGAAAGACAAGAAGAGGTAAGAAAGGTAAAGGTGTGAATGAAGGAAAAGGACCTCGTTTTATTTTGTTTGTGGGTAATTTGCCATATAACATCACTCAAGCAGAACTTGTTTCTCACTTCAAAAATTCGAATCCTGATAGAATAAGAATAAGACCAGATAAAGGGATTGCATTTATGGAATTTGATAATGATAGTAGAGAAATTCAAAGTAAAATGGAATTGGCATTAAGAATGCACCATTCTACGCTTAGAAATAGAAAAATCAATGTTGAGTTAACGGTCGGTGGAGGAGGTAACTCTGATAATAGAGTAAATAAATTGAAAGAAAAGAATGAGAAATTAGAGGATGAAAGAAGATCTAGAGTTACCAAGGACGGTAAAAAAGGTGAAGTTCCAGAAGGTGTTCACCCATCCAGAGCAGCTTTATTAAGCTAAACTTGTATACTAGTGTAGTAACATACGTCGCATACTTTGATATATATAATAATGTAGCGTTTTATAAAACAATACAAATAAATTATTAAATAAATCGATACAATCCATTAGAAGTACAAACGTCACAATGCGATATAATCTATAAATATATAAACCTCTAACAGATTGGAAAAGAAGAGAAAAAGAATATTAATTTTGAACATATGATAAAACAACCAACCGGAAATAAAACCCAAAACTTAAGTCAAATATAGAAAAAAAAGTGACTAAAATTATAAAATAGTAACATATTGTCAATTATTATCACAGAATAGAAGCAAAGAACAAATTTAACCAACGGAGAAGATCGACTCACTTTCATAAAATGGTACACTTTTTAGCCTTTTTAACTTTTCGTGGCTGTGAATTACCCACATCTGTTGCAGCATTATTTGAGCCTCCACTGCGATTCTTGTTTCCTTCTTTAGGGGGTGATATGACAGATTTTATGGCAAAATCAAACACCTCCTTCACTCCCATTTGTGTGGCAGCAGAACACTCCATGTAGCCAACTAGCCCTAATTCCTTAGCTAATCTTTCCCCCTGAGCAGCCGTAGTAGGCTTTTGGTTCCTATCGTCCAATTTATCCAACACCAGCAAGTCATCACGCAAGTCCGCTTTTGTACCTACCAATAACACTAATATGTCCTTTGGAGAATGATGAAATATCTCGGGTATCCATTTTGCTTTAACATTCTCAAACGAGTCAGGACTCACTATGGAAAAACAGCACAAAAATATCTCTGTCTGTGGATAGCTTAAAGGCCTTAATCTGTCATATTCGGCCTGTCCAGCAGTATCCCACAACCCCAATTTAATCGGCTCTCCGTTGAACATCGCTGTTGCGGAGTAATTATCAAACACCGTAGGAATATAGTCGTTTGGAAACGTATTAGTTGTGTACGAGATTAAGAGACATGTTTTTCCCACACCCCCGTCTCCAATAACAACCGACTTAATACTTCTCATTCTATGTGGTACCTTTTTTTTCTTTTATCAAAGAATCGTCCGAATATGCTCTATTCGCAAGTCCTCTTTCCTATGCAACAGTTTCAAACTTTGAGAGATTCAAAAAGATTCTTTTTTTATCCAAAGTCTCGATACCTCGTAAATTATGTACCTTATATAACTGTGCTAACCTGTACCTCTAGTTGTCTAGTCAAGTGTTTCAGTTCTAAAACTCTTCATCATGAAAAGTCTACGACATTATTCCTACACCTGAGTTATGTCGGCTAAGAGACATTTTCACACTTTTTTTGCAAGCTTCTCACGTGCGATCATTGTCTATAGTTATTGTCTCTGGAGCGATGTATGCCAACTTATACGGGATTTGTAGCAGCGGCTGGCGATTATGACTGAGTGCAAAATATTGGAGTGGAGAGATGATTAGGTTTTATTTCAACGTTCAAGGTATCATTTGCCCCCACCTATTGTAACCCACTGTATAGTCATTGCATAGTTATTGTATGATAATTGTAGGGTCACTGTGATCACTGTAGAGTCATTGCAGGTCTTGGATATATGACTAAGGCTGAAGTCCCCTCAGGAAATACTAGAACTGAGGGCTGTCGTGCATATATATGCCTTTACAGCGGGAGCGAGCACACTGACATCGTATAAAATGATCAGCACCAGATAAGCTTATTACTGCGATAAACTTCGAATTGCACCTATCTGCGGCGATAAAAACCCGATCAGACGTGTGTATCAGGTGCCAGCTATCTGAGAGCTACGGCACGGCTGTTTTTGACTTGAATGGACTTCTGGTGTAACGATGGGGACATATGTCACGTGATCAATGGATGGAATTTTTCCCTTCCGTTAGTGTTCGTAGGATTGGGAGGCAATAAATATGTCCGTGGATGTAATTCAATCACTGAACAGACAAACAGTGTTGTATTAGATAGGAATGGCTTACAAAGATATCGTTCCAGTTGGATCTGGATTAATTATTGGTGCTACGTCGTTTGGATTGGGCGTATTCTATGCCAATTTGCCCTACGACTTGAACACGTTATGGAGACACGATGAGACAGGAACTGCTTTCATAACGTCATTGGCACATTATAGTGTTTGGGGTAATTCACCAGCATATGTCCATCATATTTTCCACTTTGTTATTGGGTTGGGATTCATTGGTGCATTCATTAAGTTGTACAAGCCAAGTGATGATGCTAAGTACTTTGAGTATGGTTCTTTGTTTTTGTACATGGTGGGTGTGATTATTTACTTGACCAATTTGAGAATTGGTGTCAACAGTTGTTTGGCCGGAGAATGGGGTGAAGTGGACATGCCTACTGGGATCAATGTTATGGCTGCATCGCAAGTGATGATTGGATTTGCCTTATTTGGTGTTTTATTATTGCAAGGTGGATTATACTACGCCGAATGGTACGACAACAAATTGAAGGCTAAGTTCTTTGAAGAAGAAGAAAGAGCAGCTCTTGCAGCTGCTTCTGCTAAGACGGACACTCTCGAAGAGAGTGAAGTCGTCGGAAGTAAGGGTGCTTCTGCTTCCGGTGCTTCTGCTTCCTCCACCAAGGCCAAGAAGAAGTCGAAATAGTTTAGTTAGACGTATGTAGCCTTATAAGACATCAACGATAGTTACAATTACCCATTGGGCCATATATTCTTCTGTAGGGCCTGGTACTTAAAAGAGTGATTATATGCAGTATAACTTTCCAACCAATTAAACTCACTAAAGTTTGAATTATTTCACCAAAACTTACCTACAACAGTCTAGTCTTCACATCGTTAACTTTATATTAATAAATACATAAATTCAAGAAGAATGACGGCTACCGATAAAGTTTGGGGTGATTATCCTGTTTATTACAAACAACCATACAGAGTATGTATCAGAATAAAGAGTAGAGTGGCCGTGGATGAATGAGAATTTTGCCCAGCTGGATCAACGTGAAATCGTTGATGCAAGTAATAAGGAAGAGATTGTTGGATACTAGTGTTTATGAAATGCGTTGTTTATGTCCCTTGATTTTTCCAACTATGAAATCTTTATCCTCGACCATTGGACTAGACAAATACTAACATCATCTAGTGGTTCAAATATCATGCACACACCAAACCTCATTTTGCTTGGGCCGTTGGTTTAGGATTATCAGCTCCGTTGTTGTTGGCTATTTCTCCTATCAGAAGAAAGTACTTGTATTCTGACCATGAGCCAATTCCAAAGGTATATCCTTTACCAACCAGAGCCAGAGACACCAACTTAACTGGTTTTGATGACGAGTAAGTATACAAGCACGATAAATTATTGCCCGTTTAAGGGAATACAATAGAGCATTTGGGCCATTACATTATTCCATTACATTACTATATTATTTAAGGTATTAATTGTTCATAAGAAGATGGTTAATATTTCATCGAAATGGCTCAAAAATTTCATTCAAATTTCTTACTTTACAGGACTTCGGTTATCACCTAACTAGTCATATCATAATATACGTTTATATTCTCTACATCACCCTGTAGCTTGCCCAGTATCCACCATCTAGTAGCCATATAGGCTTACATAAGGCCTTAAGTTGGGTCGTGCCAACACCGAGAACAAATTTTGTCGCTTCGATTTAAATTTTCACCAAAAATGCTAACTAGACCATAATAGAAGGTCAGAACCAGGGTTAATTAAGGATATGTTCAGCAGATTAGGTCTATTGCACAGGGCTGTTGGTGTGCAACCAGCTAGGATCCAAACCAGCTTATTGAGATCCGCAAAACAGTTCCATACCACCAAATATTTGCAAAATGGTAACGTTTTTGGGGAATTGACAAAAGGTAAAGAGTCAGACGAAGCCGAAATCGAGAAGCAAAACAACATAGATGCCAGCCAGGTTACACCAGCAACAGATAGTACTTTACAAGAATATTACCTCGAAGAGGCCAAGAAATCGCAACTCACAAGCGACAAGTACATAACACCATTAAAGCGAAAATTATTTCAGTTGAACGTGCAACAGAATGGGTTCTTCAAGAACAACGAAATTTTCAGAGATCCAGAAACCGGAAAGGTCTACAAATTAGCATTAACCGAAGAAGAAATCGATATTTTGGAACCTTCGATCTACTTACAGAGTTACAGAATTAAGTCGTCGATGAAGAAGGCTACGCAGGTCAACAGATTTGTCAGAGGCTACAAGGTGAAGAACGCCATCAACCAATTACATTTCAACCCTAAGAAGATGTCCACTGAGTTGGAGAAATTATTAAAAAAGGGATTGGAACAGGCTCGTGAATCGAACTACAACGAAGACGAATTGTATATCCAGGCCTTGTGGGTTGGTTCCGATGGGAGCTGGCGTAAACGGTTGGACGCTAAGGGTAGAGGAAGAACCGGTATCATCGAGCACCCTCATATCCATCTCAAAGCCATCTTGAGAACCGATCAGACCGCGGACAGATTGAAATGGGAAAAACACCAAAAGCAGTTGAATCAAAAACCAAGAATGTTCTTAAATAACGAACCCTTGAATTTCAGAGTTCACCCATTTTATAGATGGTAATCTTGTACATATATATAATACTATAATTTATCACTATCATTTATTCCTGGACCTTATAAGAACTACCGGTCGCTCGCTCACAGATGTATGATCTATGTTCACACCGTGCCTGTGCCTGCGATAACGTAATGCTTTCAGATATTTCCGTCATGACCGAGTTTAACCCTATAAAAAACTCCTCCACAATTAGTCCGCCATTCAACCGTCCACTGACCCTATTATTCCCGTGGGATAGTGACGTTATTCTAGTTCAATTTTCTTGTATATAGTATTTGTCCTCTAAAATGTCTAGACTACTTTACTCTTATCACCTATTACAATATTCGCATAGAATAGTGTATATGATAATACTGAGTCATTACATTAATTATATTTGTTTCTTCTTACAATTAGTAGTGATACACTCTATATATTGTGTTCAGCAGAAATACTATCGGAATATACATATATAGCTTTACTTGGACAAGGGTATCAATTGTATAAGGGCTAGGTTGAAATATTTGGAATAATTTAGCAATCACACCTATAAATTAAAAACCCTCATCCCTTCGAAGTAAACCAGAGATAACTAATTAATACAAAAACCAGCAGCAAGAATACAGAAATAAGATATAAAATGGGATTGAAGTATACTAATTTCTTTGAGAATTCTAGTTACGAAAGTTCCGATACCCAAATTGTTATCTGTAAGAACTGCTCATCCCATTTATGCTTATCACACTTGATCCTCTCGGACAACTTTCGGGGGTCCACAGGGCCAGCATATTTAGTGGATAAGTTGATTAATTATCAACTGGAGAATGGTTCACAGGAAACTAGGATGTTAACGGGGAGTTACCTTATAAATAAAGTCAAGTGCCACCAATGTTCGAATCAGCTAGGATGGACCTATAAGAAAGCTTTTTCATACTCAGAAACATATAAGGAAGGAAAGTTCGTCATTGAAAAAGATTACATCAAATTAATTCCTAACAACTCCTCCACTGCTTCCCTTATGGAGAAAGCCAAATTGAATAATAGCCGTCGCCGTTCTTCAGGCTCTTCTTCGTCGTCAGTTGATTATAATACCACTTCAGATGACTTGTTCAAATTTAATTCTGTTGATCCCACCAAGGCAAAGATGGAAGAATCAGTTGGTGACAGTTCTATTAATTTTAGGGATAATGATGGCGTATCAATTTTGGGCAGATTAAGGTTCCAAGGAATCGATAAAGAGGAATTCGATGAAGACCAAGACGTTTTTGTTGATGTTTAATTGGTATTTTTTGTTATTTCTGCCTAACAAATATTGCTTTCTCTTTTTAATATCCTTTTTTTTTACATTTAGTATAGCTACTTCTCTTTTTTTTTGTTGAGTGAGTGGCACAATGGTTAATACGTTATTATCAGGTAACGGTTGCCTGTTTGGTATGGTATTCAGGTTTTGGTTGGTGGATGGTGGAATAGTATGTAGATTTTTTAAACTGCGTTGTTCCTTATGGTTCTTTATATATAGTTTTTCTCTAAATTGTTTCCAATGAATAATTCATAACATGCCATGTAGATTACAGACTTTGCTTTAATGCGATATGCAATATGCGATATATTAATATACACAGAAAAATCTATAGTGCCTAACGTTTTAATTTCTTAGCATTTACCAAGTTATCAATACCTTCACTAGATCTTTTCATTAATTTGGGTGTCAACTTGGTATACACTAAAACATAAGCAGAGGGATCACTAAGAGCTTCTTTTTCATTAACCTTGTTGATATATTCATCATCATAAGTTGACCAGGTACCATCAGGTTGTAAGCAATGTGCAATATAATGTCCTGACAGTATAGACCTACCTTCGTGAACAATCACTGAGACTAATTGATATTTGGTTGGAGTCTTTAATGTGGTGAATTTGGTCAAGTCTAGGTAATTTGGATAAGAAATTGATTGCTTAACCTTAGATGAGGAGTTACCATTAAATTTGAATCTCTTCAAATGAACTGTTAGAGTTTCAGGAGATCTGTCAATTGTACTTATTTTACATGCATTTGATTTTTGTTTACAATTCTCACAGTCATATCCCGAACTTTTGTCCTTTCTATCAAGTTTAATTAATTCACTAGAGAAAAATTCTTGAATTGACTTCTCGATTGTATATCTTTGTGGACCAGAATTTTCTGTGACATCCTTATTCTTCTTTCTGTTTAATCCTAACGATAAATCATAAAACTCTTGTTTCGTGTCCGATACGTAGTTACAATTCTTGCATGTCACAGATTGATGTAATAACCCCCCAAAGATATCATAGATTATTGATTGATTCAACTTCACTCCTTTAGGAGTAGAATCTTCTTGTAATCTTGACATTAATGACATAAAGTATTCATGCGAGTCTTCTTGCTGCCATTCACTCATCATACAATTAATATCATCCAATCTTTGAATAATTCTCTTGGGATTAACGTATTTTGGCTGTTTGGCTTTTGATGCGTTATCATCCAATGCCCACATTCTTTTGGAAAGCTCAGCTAAAACATGGGAAACAGATCTTGGCTTTAAGGTTTTATTATATTTGCCCGAATTGATATCTGTCAAATAATGTTGCACCGCTGGAATGTGAATCAATGATTGAATTGCAGAATTCATGTAGCATGTAACCCCATGATTTAACAACCCGACAGGCTTGCGTTTGGATAATTCTCTCCAGTTTTTATAGATCCGAGTAGAATTATTAGACCCTCTATCACTAGAAACTTCATTTATCAGATAAAACTTGTTCAATGGTAACACGTGAAGATCTTCGCTAGCGTTGACAGTAGCAGGAAGCTTTTCTGGCTCATCTTCAGGTGAGGTTGGTGGCGTTGTGTTCTTATCCAGGTTTTCCTCCTCTTTCTCTTCGTCGTCGTCGTCACTTCCTGACAAAGAAGGATCTTTGCTCGATATATCTCTAGGATCACGCTGCAAGTCTTGTTTAAGATCGTGTTTGAGGGCTTCTAAATCTTCTTCGTCATTTGAACTATCCTCTACATCACTGGCACTTCCACTGTCACTTTCAGAACAACTCTCATTATCTTCAAGGGAATAGTCCTTATTATCGTCATCGTCATCGTCATCATTACCTTCATCTTCTTCCTCGCCACCTACAGCGCTCTCGCTTGGGGATTCACTATCGCTTTTCAGCTCGCTTTCACTTTTGAGCTCGCTGTCGCTTCTCAGTTCACTGCTACTCTTGACCTCGCTCTCACTTTTGAACTCGGCAAATGGCAACTCAACATTACTGTCTGAATGAAATTCGGATGCCGACTCGTACTGCGAGTCCGAAATTGAGTCTGAATCGGATTCAGCCATTTTGATGTCGTCATCACCGATAACTTCACCCACATCTTCTTCTTCAGAGTCGACCAATGGTTGTGTCAACTTCCGTTTTTTCGCTGCCTTTTTCTCTGCCTTGCTCAAAAATTTCTTCCCGGTATAAACTGCCACGGCCTCCGCCATCGATCTTGGTTTCCTCATTTCCGGACTTTTTGGTTCTTTGTCTTGTGCCAGAGCTTTGCTGCTTTCGCTATTATCACTTTTCTTGCTCGATTTTGACAAGACTATGTAACTGGCGGGCTTTTCAAAATTATCCAGCTCGATTTGTTTCCCCAGTATGAATGTTAACGGATTTGCCAAAATTCGGTCTATAAGCGGCGTAACACTGTTGGAAAGTACGTTGGCTTGTCCGGACATGTAATGTTTCTCACTGTACTCAATATAAGGCCAAATAGACTATCTTTAGTACTATAATTTGACTTTTTTGCCTAACGTCTATATATTTTGACACAAAATTGATAAAAATTTAACAACTATCACCAAAAAGAAATTTAACGACAATATACTAATTAAGTCACGATTAATGAATGCTAGTTTATGATGATTGTATTGTATATTAGTCAAATGTAGTAGATCTTGATGTTCCTCAAAATTACACTTCAATATATTTATGTATACGGTTATTTTGAAGATAAATAGTCCGTTTATCTCATCGCTTTTCGTCCGCATAAGCTTCTCTCAGAAAATTTTTGATTCAGGTGGAATCGCGTCCAGAAATAGTCGTGCATTTTAACACCTATTGTATAGAGATTGTATAACGGTATATAATGTGCAATAAAAAATGACATAGAAGCATTCTATAACAAGAGAGTCATGACTTGGTTGAAAATAACATATGTAGCTAGCTATTAAAATTGTTTATAATGTGATACCTACGATCGGATGATTTGGTTATTTGCCCAAAAAGATCAGCTCTTTGGTCTTTAGGGCTATCAAGTCCTGTAGGTCTGTAAGACCTATGTCTTTACTATGATTAGATATGTTTGTGATGGTCTTATTTACGTTATTCAGTAACTTCACATTTTCTTGTGGTGAGGAACCCAGTTTTCGTGGCTTGGTTAGATTTGTTCTTGATCTATAATTGGTGTACATGGGTCTTTTGTCATAATCGTCGTTGTCATCATCATCATCATCATCATCTTCATCTGCTCTTTTGTCTGTGTAGACATTGACCGAGCTTTCCATCGACATAATGTCATCATTTCCCGTGTCAGAGATGTCTAGAGCTGCGCTGCTCTTATCTCTTTCATCTAGATCGCTTTCGTCGTCCATGTCATCGTTACTTGACGAATTTCCATGCCCACTAAAGCTGTCAAAGGAACTTTGTGATACTGTACTGTAGAATCTATTGCCATTCATAAGCTTCTTACTTATTATGTCTTCAAAGATCAAGTCGAATTTTTTGATAAACGAGATTTCGAACCTGTTCAATTGATTGACTTCCTTCTTCTGAAGTTTATTTATCAACTTGAATACATTTTCTATCATATTTTGTTCTTGATGATTCGCAGTGTTGACCGATTTGATTAGTTTGCTGATCCACGATTTATTCGATATAATGTCTAGAATTTCTGTATCTAGATTGGACTTGAAGATTTGGATATCTAATGAATAGTATTTATCCGAATGAACCCCAAAATCTTTCTGTTTGGATGGGGGTACTCCTCTAGTATTGTTGGTAGGTGTAGCGGAATCAGGGGATTTGTAATTATCAGGAAAGGCCCGGAACGCTCCAATCTCAACTTTTCCTTGGTCCTCTGTTTTCATAGGATCAATAACTATAGCAAGATATGGATCTTGAAAATTTTGGTTCAAACTTTGCGTTGCAACATCTATACCAGACAACCAACAGCCATAACCTGGATGTGAATGATACCATCCAACAATATTCTCATCTCTACCCACTTGTTTCAGGTTTTCTAGGTATTGCACCATATACTCATAGCCTTCTGCCTGAGCATTAACTCTAGTTTCGGTACCTTCAACTGGCAACGGATAAACATCCATCACAATTATTGAGTTTTTAATAATCTTGCCAGTCATCATTCCCATAACTTCAATTGCCCCTCCTGATTTGGCATGAACTGACATTTTACATAACGCTAACGAAGATATATATGTCTTCTTGAAGTATTTGGCATTTGACTTCCAAGGTCTTGCCTTCATTATACCCTCATCTGAGTTAACGGAGAAAAATGATTCATAATCAGCATGCTTATCTATTTCTGTAGCATCTAACAGCTGTGTGAGGATTCTCTCATCTGAATCATTTATGAATACATCTGCGAGTTCATGAATACATCTCATTATATACTAGACCGTTTCGTTGTATTAGTAGGTTGAAATTATTCAATATTTTATTTGTGGAGCTTTAAATGCGCATTTTGTTATCAATTGAGTATTATCATAAAATTAATCATAAATAAATATATAAAAATAATTTTATATTAGCATATCCGAGAATAATGAAAATAAAAAACTTATAAAAAGACTGAATTGCGAGTGATTCAATTTGGAGTTTCGAATGAATCTTCAAAATTGAATTCTTGATCATTATTTGTTGGTGGATAATACATTGGGAATGGTATTCCATAACCAGTTTGCGATTGGTATTCTGGCGATGCTTCGTATGGAATGAAATATTGGTAAGGATTGTAATAACCCGAGTTAGAACCAGATGCTACTTCATTAGTAGGAATGTAGTAAAAGTATGGGACATTTTTAGTTTTATTGATACTTTTCAGATTCTTGTTTCCTTCTGATCTTTCGCTGTTTACAGCACTAGAAGGAGAATATCCGCTTTTAGCGATTGTATGTGAGTCATATGTTTGAACGCTTTCAGGGGGTGTAGGTGAATCTTCCTTTATCTCTGGTTTCAATTTATCGTAAACATCACCAAACT